GGCAAAGCCGGGACACCTGGAGGCAGGCAGGGCAAAGCCGGGACACCTGGAGGCAGGCAGGGCAAAGCCGGGACACCTGGAGGCAGGCAGGGCAAAGCCGGGACACCTGGAGGCAGGCATGCAGGGCAAAGCCGGGACACCTGGAGGCAGGTAGGGCAAAGCCTGGACACCTGGAGGTACAGTATTGCAGGGCAATGCCGGGACAGGTGGTGGTGGGTGGGACAAACACCTGGAGGCAAACGGGACTGAGCCAGGATACCTGAAGGCAGATATGGCTGAACTTGGACACCTGAAGGACTGTCAAAGTGGGCCTCTCTGGGCTGGGAGCCTGGAACGCAGGAAAAGCAGCCTCTCCTGCGCTGGGCATGGCAGCAGCCTCTCTGGGGCTGGATGCAGCAGCAGCAAGAATGGTATCAAGCGTAGGTTCAGTCCACTGCTTCAGTATCTGCCTCCTGCGGCGAGAACTGGCGGATAGCTTCGAGGAGTTAGAGGGTGGATCGGCGGCTAGCTGTGGGGAGCTAGTAGGTGGATCTTCAGCTTCGGGCTCAGTAAGTTACCTCACCTCCATCAGCAGGTGTTGAACCTTCTACACTTCCAGGGGACCCGAATCCAGGGTGAGCTTTGCCAATACTTCACCTGCAGACTGCCTGAGCACTATAGCCTCGGGAATATTCCAAACCATCGATTGTTCCTCCACTCCTGATAGGAGTACAGGAGGGAAAAGTCTTCCGCCCAAAGGCAGGCTGGTCTCCGCAATACAGGCAACTCTCTTGGTCCCAGGGTCCAAGGCACCCCACATATTCACTCAGCTGGGTGCAGGGATGCATGGAAACCAGAGTGGAGGTGCAAACTGCAGAGAATGTTTGGGAGTCCTGTCATTCTGTTACACTACGCGGGATGAAGGACGCAGGAGTCAGGGCAAACAAAACGGGTTTTGTTACAAAAAAGGGAACAGATTGGAAAACAACTGGATCACAAGGGATCAAAAGGAAGGAAGAGCACAAGGGCACCCAGGAGTGGCAACATTAAGGACAGGACTGGGGAACACAGGACTGAGAAGCACATTTATAGAAGGCTAACAAGCGATCAGATGGAGGGAGTAACACAAGAGCAGGAACGAACCAATCTGATTTGTTTATTAAGTTGGTGAAGACCACACATGGTAGCACAATGGCACAGCGGTTAGCACTGTTGCTTCACACCCCTGGGTCCGGTGTTTGAGTCTCCATCATACCTCCATGTGTGTGGAGTTTGCATGTTCTCCACGTGTTGTCATGGGGTTTCCTCTGGGTACTCTGGTTTCCCCCTACAGTCTAAAATATGCTGTGGTTGATTGGAGTTACCAAATTTCTGATATATGTGTGAGTAAATGGTGTGTGAGCGTGCCCTGCGATGGGTTGACGCCCCATCCTGTGTTCAATGCCTTATACCCATAGACTCCAGACTCCCTGCAACCCTGAATAGGACAAGTGGTTACAGAAAATAGACGGATAGACAGATGAAGACCACACAATTGTTATTAAATGAAAACATGCATTCTGAGGAGGGTATACTTTCTTTTTTCCCATGATTGTAGCTGTGAAGTAAAAATAGTTCAAGCAAGTACTTTTATTACTTCAGGAACTAAAGCTTTTAGATATATCGATAAACAAGATTTCTAATCTAACGGCTATATGCTGAACACTGCAATATGGCAATCAGACATTTGCCTTCTGTATGAGATGGACAAGCTTGATCGATAAGTAAAACACTCTTCAAAATTAATTTATTTTATTACTTCATACTGAAGACTAATCTTTTTATGGATGGATGCAAAGCAAGCAGGAGGACGCAAAATTCGGAGAATAAAATGCGGCGCAACTTCAGTCCTGTAGTTGTGAAAAGTTATGACCGCTTTCTGTACAAGAAAGATCACAGTACCCTCCGATTGACATTTCGCGTCGCAGAGAAGCCGAACGGAGCAAGGAGGGGGATGAGGGTCGGGTGGAAACTCACCCAGACACAGCAAACTAAATACGCACATACTGTAGTCGACGACTGTGGGACCAGTAACCCATCATTACTTGATCTGCAGACTGAACAAAGGGAACTCACAGCGACTTTTGAGTACTGTGTCGACTAGTTATAAAACTTAAGTTTGCGCATTCTTCGATGTTAAAATGCTTTAAGATTTTGAAAATTTTGTTCAATTGACCCAGTATCAGGAAGGTATCACTAAGTCCCACTCAAGACCCACATTTTTTCCTTTTTTATTTTAATTATTATTTTTTTGCTTGCGATGCGCGGCACCTTTGCATTACTTTTGATTACCTGTGCGGGGGGAATTTTAGGGTGCCAGCTTCCCCATGACTGGAGACCCCAGACTGAAGCATGCCGCGCAGAACTCGCGGAGATCATTGTCTACGCCAGGGTACTCGCAATGCACAGGGACTCATACAGCGTTTATAACTACTTGCCCTGGCAGTACGACACGGAGCTATTCTTCTCCGCCGAGATCGAGCTTCTGTGCGACCAAGCATGGGGCAGCATGCTGGAAGTCCCCGCTGGATCCAGGTTCAATGTCACCGGACTCGGATACTTTCCCTGCTATTCATACAGCGTCACGGAAAACAATGCCTACTATTTCTTCTTAAGGTGTGGCTGAACTTTCTGTACGGCGCAGTAGATTTATTAATATTGATAGAATTTGCCGTTATATTCCAGTCTGGTTTCTTAATATTCTGTCGCATTGATTTATCTTTCCTTCAAAGAATCTCTTTTAAAAGTTAAACTTTTTAATGGTGTCACTGAAGGACGCTTCAACATTCAGTAGATATTATGTGGTTGTATGTGGTTGAAGTATTTGAGCCCAGGCATGAACGTCATCGGCCATTCATCAACATTGATATTGATTTCTGTTGTTGGTACAATACTGTTAGTCCGATCCCTATGGACAGGGACAAATACTTGAGTGATTCCTTGCAGTTAGTAATTTCTTCTATGTTTATTTATGTATTCACTAATCCATTCACTCATTTATATATGTATTTATTAGATTTCTTAAGCTGTTCATAAGACCAAGTTTAGCCCAGCTGTGAATGGATGTGCATCCTGCATCAGGTGGGACGTACGTGCGTGTGTGTGTGTGTGTGTGTGTGTGTATGTGTGCGCAAAGTGGGGCTGTGTGGAAGGGATCGGGGGGTAAATGGCTCATGTTTCCAGGGTGCTCAGGTTTTGTGTTCCATGGCAACTGCGCCAGAATGTAATGTTTCAGCTGTTCCTTCCCCCACTGCCTCGCGAAAGTGTATTTCTGCAGACTCAGCAATTATCCGAGGCGCAGAATAGCAGTTTGTTACTGGGCGATTGAGGATGACAGATTGCATGTCTGTGTCAAATATCATTTTTATTTCACCTGTATGGTCAGCTGGACTTATTTAATCAAATAGAAAGTCCGTCTTTTTTTCTGGAACCAGAAGTGTACAGAAAAGGTCAGATGTAACCAAAACGGTTTTGTCTTGAAGATGTAGAATCTTATTTTAGTCACCTTAAGAGGCGTCAGTTTACATTATTTAGCAGATATTAAGGGCTTCCTTTGTTCTTGCCCCTGTTCCGTTTAGTTCAGCTTTGGAGTTTATGCAGTAGCTTAATTATCTGCATCAGTAGTTCACCATTGTGAAAAAGGTTTCGAATACACGACGACCTGTCCCTCTTACAGTAGCTACTCTACACCCCACACTCTTAATTCGCCATTGAAGCTCCAAAACTGTAATACCATATTTTACATGTTACATGTAGTAAGTATATGCATATGCTTCTACAATGTAATTTAAAACAAGCTTGCTTTCAAATGGAGTACTTAGGTGATAAACAGTGATATCCTGCCTCAGTTTTAAAGTAGATGTAATTTTGGAAAGTTATGCAGTCCGTTGAACCATATGCTGTTACTGAGCTTATTACAAAATTGGAGCAGCTCTTAAAGCAAAGGCTTGAGAAGATTAGATTCCCTTTGTACTGCTAATATTAAAGTAACATCTGGACAGACTAACTGCTACTAAGAGTTTGTGCAGCAGCCTCTAGGGGGCTAATATGCAGTGGTGTGACATGTTAGTAGAACATGAAGAATCTTCTTCTGCAGCAGATGCTGCTTGCATTGATGAATGCTTCAAAAGACAGGTTTACACCTCTAGGTCTTTATAATCATGCATGATTTGCAAACACAAACATACAACAAAAAGCAATTTAGCTTGACAAAGGGAAAACTTCAGGGTAGGAGTTCGCTGTTAGATCAGTGTGCCAATCGCTCCATCAGTAAGAAAGTCCAGTCCATTGAGCTTGGAGGGTCGTAACAGGCAGCATCTGTGATTGAATCACTAATGAGCTCCTGCATGCAGAGTATCGCGTTTGAGAAAGTAGGTTTTCTCAGATGTTCATCTAATACCCTGTTTCACAATGCAAATATAAACGCCTGGCTTCATGTTGACCTTTCACAGGCATTGTTCCTTGTCATTAATATCCATTTCCTCACAGAACTTGACAAGGTGCCCCAGAGCCAAGAGCAATAATGTCTGTATGTACAGACTGTCAGGGGAATATTCTGTGGCAGTGGGCAGATGTCTGTACTGTAACTGTTTGCGAGGTGTCCTGTTTCACTGGACGCATGTTGATAGAGACTGGATTCTGTATGTCTGCCTTGACAAGGAGATCTGAAGGGTGAGGCAAAGAACATATGACAATGTCTTTAATTTCTCTTAAATTTGCTGAGGGCGCTCAGGAAAGATCTAGGCGTGGAGCAGGATGGTGCAACGGGCAGCCTAAGAATAACCATAGGTTTCCTGCCTGTAGATAACATAGAACATTCTACCACACCAGTGTTTCTCCACCCAGTCTTCAGGGACCCCAGACAGTCCACACTTTAGCTCCCTTCTCGCTCACACCTGTACCAGGTATTCAGTCTTGTAAATGAATGAGGATGAATGCGCTGATATCTCTCGTAACTTACCGAGTAAGAAGCAAAAGAATTTACGGTTTCCTGTGGCAGTGCGCTTCAGTCTGAAGTCTACACACTTAAATTGGCAGGTCTTTAGAATGGTTCAGGTTGAGGCTTGTGCACATACTATGGAACTATGAACCAATCAGGCAGCTGGTTCCAGTTTGAGTGAAGTCCTCAGGAATAAAAAGCTGAATTTAGACGTTAAGTGAAGCAATATGTCTTTGTCCAAACAACATTTGTGTCAACACAAGTTTGCCTGAGGAGTTCTTGGGTTTTCATCACAGACAGGGCAAGAGTTTTGGAACTAATTCTGATTAGAAAACTGGGAATTCTGATTGAGAAAGATCTGAGAACATTCTGGAAACCAGTCAGTGCTCAGAACAAAGAAGAAGCCACCAGATATGCTTCGCCTTTGAATGGTCTCCGTAGTATTAGTGCACGCTGATACATCACATGAGTTACTGGGAGAAGTGGCAAAAATCTAAGGAAGGTGAAACTCAAAATCACATCTTCAACAATATTGAAATAAAATTGGGAAAAGCTTATTTAGTGACTAAAGTAAAACTATAAATGTATAAATCATTTTTGAGAAGATATGTCAGGATTTTGTTTATAAAAATTGATTTATAAATTCATATTGATGTCATTCTGCCATTTTTCTTACTTGATTTGTTAATACCAACTAATGTTTTGCAGAATTTTGCTCACACTTGGGGAAAAAAGGCTTTGGATCACAGTTACAAAAAATAAAAACTCTAGGAGACAGTAGGATCTGAGGAGCCTGCTTGAATATACTGACATAAAAACAGTGCATGCAGAGACGCAACATTTTCTCTCAGTGCTCAGCATCTGGATCTAATTAGCAGTTTGGCTTGAGTTTTCTGTGTGTTACTTTTGGAGGGACCAGTCTGCACTGAATCACAGGGATCTTAGCTGGAGCTGAAAGCCACAGAATGGCTCACATGTTCGTGTGCACAGTTTAGCACAAGGCATCTAATTAACGATAGTTAAGGATAATGGGTTCCTTCTGTCTGCATGTTAACTAGACCTGCAAGGTAACCACCACAAATAATTAAGCAGGCATTGAAGTGGTACTGAAGATGGATGGATGATAAAAAATACATTATTATTGCTGGTCTCAGCAACATGTCACTATTGTAAATGAAGAACCCGGTTATGCAGGACATCCCTCTTATGCAGTACATCCCTGCTTAGTTTATTCCTCAACACCCTTAAACGCTCCTGTTTACATTGCAGCACCGTGGTTGACTGCCTTGCATATACTCCATCAGATGAGACTCTGTTGATGTTGCTTTTTATTGTTTTTCCATGAAAAGAACATTATCATGTGTGAAGCCTCTGGCAGAAAATGCAGTGGGAGCGAGGTGAGGATAGCAGGGGGCAAACGTGTGCTTTTCAGGCCACACTGCGCTCCCCGACTTCCAAAAGCCACACAGCTCTTGCTGACACAGTTGTGAAAAAGGACATCCAGGTGACCTGAAAAATCTTCCCGAGTGCATATCTTAAGGGTATTTTCCTTACCTACATGATCCCACTACAACAGCCTGTCAAATGCAGTGAGCATCACCCAACCCACTAATCTGTCATCGGCAAATTTTGATACTTTTTTCATTGTTAGCAGACGGAGCCCTTCCTCCACTTTCCATGACTGGAGATGGTAAGCAAACAATGCCCACTGCAGCGTTCTGATGGTGTCCCTGGTTCCACAGGCACTGAAAGTGCCCAATCAACAGGGCTCATGAAATTAGCTTAGTTTAACTGTTACCATGGTTATTGCATTATTATTTGGGTGAAACAATTCCATGCATCAATTGTTAAGGCCACAATACAATATAATCAACTTAGTTAATAAATATCGACTCATATCATTAAACTATGATAATACCCCAAAATGCTGCCGAAAAAAAAGTCTCTGAAAAAGTGTCTCACGTAAAGAAATCTAGAGACTTTAGAGACTTTAGTAAAGAGTTGATACCAGTACATTAGTGTATTCTATGTCTGTTCCTACATTTTCAAAGAGTAAGCTGTACATATCCAGAAGTATAAATACAAGACAGAATATTTGTTGTGCAGACATTTGTGTTTTTGAGACATAATTAAAACACTTTGTATAGTTTTCCTTCAACATATTGTGTTCTTAAAATGGAAAATTATACATTTATTGCTAAGTCAATTAAAACATTATGTCAATTCAAAGAAATTCCACTAAAATCAGGTTATGACTGTTTTGAAAATATCGTTCATGTATTATCTAACTGTATCAAATCGTAGAGTAATTGCAGTAACATCGCCAGATATTGAATTGCTGCCTTGCAAGACCAAAATCGAACTGGCAAAGCTTATGATTTACATCCCTATTTATTATGCTCCGCAACGCCCCCTCCCCCC